TTGTGCGAATCTTGAAGGGAGCCGGCTGCAGATCAGATATTTTCCAGTATGTGCAGCGCGAGTTCAAGTGTGCTGGCTGTGACCTGGAGCAGAGGCCGCCAACACGGCTGCCGGCCGCAACGCCGCGCACTTACGACTTCAACGTGGTGATCGGCGTCGACGTCCTCTTCATCCACGGGGTGGACAATCGGACCGAGCGCCCGATCCTCAGCATAACGTGCCTCGGGACGCTGTACTCCACCTTCGGCATGATCGATCCTCTCCGGCGATCTTCCAAGCTGACGCTGAAGGCCTTTGAGAGGCTCTGGCTCCGCATCTTCGGGCCACCCGACTACATCCTGTACGATCAGGGGACAGAATTTACTGGAGGTGACTTCCAGTCTGGACTGGAAAAGTTTTCCATCATGCCTCTTGTGACCAGCCAGGATGCGCCATGGGAGAATGGCGTGTGCGAAAGGAGAGGCGACCTCTTCAAGAAGATCTGCTACAAGAGCCGTGAAGTGGTGCAGCCCAGGGACTTGGATGAAGTCGAGCTTCTGGTGTTCGAGTCGGCCTGGGCACTTCAGACCACCTGCAACCGATCCGGCTTTACCCCGGCGCAACGTGTTGGGACGACAACCTCGACTGGCCCTGGACCTTGTTGGGGACGACAGGCACTACGAGCTCTCCACGACCCAGGACAAAGCATGGAAGCGAGCCTATGAAATCCGCGAAGCAGCTCGCAAGGCGCTCCTGGAGATGGACTGCAAAGAACGGCTTCAGCGAGCAAGCCGGGCACGGCCGAGAAGGGCACTGGAGGACCATGTGTTCACAGAGGGGCAACCGGTCACTGTGTGGCGGCAGGGCTGCCGCGGGGCACTTGCCAAAGTCGGACCCTGTTACGTTATCCTCCAGAATGGCCTGACAGTGTGGGTCACGAGGCGGGGCGAATTGTGGAAGTGCAATGCCTCCCAAATCTTCCCGATTGGACCTTTGCAAGCGCAAGGTTTGGAGGTGATCCCCCGGGACCTGCTGATGACAAAGGAGCGTCTGAGGTTTGACAATGAGAAGCTCGGATATGTTGATGTGACGCAGGAAAATGCTGAGAGCCGTGAACCTGAAGGATCACACCTTGATGGACAAGGACAAGCAAGTCAAAAGCCAGAAGCAGCGACAAGGGCATGCGAACAGCCAGAGACCGGACCACCAAACCTGGAACCCGAGGACGACCTGCCATCGGACTTGGATAGCTACGCTCCTTGGGCTGAACCACATGAACAACAAGCACCGCTCGAAGACCGACCAAGACCAGCAGAACCACATGAACCGCGAGCATCGGTGGAGAACCAAGTGGAGCCCAGGATGTCACCAGGGTTGGCGTCAGGACCGCCTCCGACAACACCCGCAGCTGGACGGGGACAATGGCCACAAGCGACAGCCGTGAGAGTCTGGAAGCGCTATGACAATAATGCTTCCAGGTTCAGAGTCTCGAACAGCACAGGTCCCATGTGGAGTGATGTGTTCCGGAGACAGACCCTGGACTTGGACAAGAATGAGGTCATCGCGGACGAGACGTTCACTGGGGATGAGCGACCAAGGAGGCTGAGCCGGGCACTGCCAGAGGGTGTCAAGAACATCGAGACGACTGTGTTTTACCGACCACGGCCAGGACACCCAGGCCCTGGAGTTGCGGTTGGCGAAGACTTCGAGCGAGGCCTTGACACTGAAGAAGACAAGCGGCTCTTCGACCGCGGCCTCAAGCGTGGACATGACGGCCAAGGAGCACGAGGCCAACCTCAACCGAAATCCCGAGTGGGCGGCGTGTGGGTCGCTGATTGTGTGACTGCCTGGGGTGACAAGCGGCAGTTCGGCAAGCTTGAGAGAGGTGACACCTTCTACACGTACTCCGAGCTCCACTCAGGCTGGATCTGTCTGACCAAGAAGTCCGGGAAAGAACTGCAGGAGAGGACGCTGACCCAGCAGGAGAAGCAAATGTTTGACGAGGCAAAGCTGACGGAGATTGGCAACCTGGAAGGCTCCAATGCCATTCGCTTCGTCACCGACCCAGCCGAGATCGAGCGCATCAGGTCGAGCTTTAGCCACCGGATCATGCCTTCTCGCTTCATCCTCACGAAGAAGCAGCAGGAGGTAGGGCAGGCCTGGAAAGCCAAAGCTCGATGGATTCTGCTTGGGCACAAGGATCCGGATGCCCAGGAGCTGGAGCGGTATGCTCCGACGCCGGCCACGCCAACGGTCTACTTGGCCTTTCAGATCCTGAGCAGCATGCGGCACAAGCTTGTCATCATGGATGTGAGCTCGGCTTTTGGGCAATCGGACCAGCGTGAGAGGGAGAAAGGGCCGCTGTTTGCGACCATGCCGCCGACCGGAGTGCCGGGAAAGGAAAGGGATCACCTTATCCAGATCCTTACGGCGGTCTATGGGCTCGTCAACGCGCCCGCTGTTTGGCGCAAAACTGTGCGTCGTGTCTTGGACCAACTTGGCTACATCGAATCTACTTTCGACCCTTGTTTGTATTATCTCCCGTTCCTTGCTGCAGAAAATCCTCATCGACAACGAGGTTGCGCAGGCCTGGTCCTCCTAGACGTGGACGATTTTGTCCAGGGAGGAAACTCCCACCACGGTGAGCTGATGGAAATCCTGAGGAAGCAGTTCCGCTTCGGAAAATGGCGAGTCATTTTCGGCTCCTCTGGTGAGTACCTAGGCAGGACCGTCTCCCAGGACGAGAACTTCGAGATCAGGATCACGATGCAGAGGTACATCAAGGAGAAGCTCAGGAACATCACGCTGACCAGGGAGAAGATCAAGGACGAGGGCCGCGTTCTGGACGCCAATGAGGTGACCTTGGTCCGGGGAGCAGGCGGATCGCTGCTATGGATTGGCCGCGAATGCCGGCCGGACATGGGGGCTGCGTGCGCGATGAGCATGTCATGGGCCAAGGACGGGCCGACCGTTCGCAACATAAAACAGATCAACAGGCGGTCCAGGAACTCCATAACACGAGTGAAGTTTTCCTCCGTATCCTCCCGATAAAGCTGTCCGAGGGTGTGTGGATGGTTTTCTCGGATGCGTCGGTGGGCAACGAAGGAGATAAAAGCCAAGGCGGCTTCTTGATTGCCTATGCGGAGGAGAAGATCATGAATGGGGAGCTGGCACGGCTTTCCTTAAATTCATGGAAGAGCCACCGCCTTCGGCGAGCCGTGAAGGCATCTTTGGGTTCCGAAGCACTGGCCATGGACGATGGCCTGGCAGAGCTTGAGTGGATCAAAGCCTGTTCTGTGAAGTGGTGGTTCCGGGCACCTGTGTGAGCGATGGTACCAGGTATGGTCCGGATGAGACCGTGGCCGTGGTCCTCTGCAAGGATGAGGATGGCGGTCTGGCAGTGACGGATGCAAGAGCTCTCTATGATCTCTTCCATCGGCGGTCTGGAGCGGCAGGACTATGTCGCAGAGCTCAGTTGGATGTGGCAGTGATGGCCAAATCCGCGGCGCTCCTGAAGACCAAGGTCCACTGGGTACCAAAAGACTGGATGATCGCCGACCCCCTGACCAAGCGGTTGGGAAATAGCTCGCTGCTGCGGAAGATCATGAGGCTTGCACAATTTGGGCTGACCAAGCGAAGCTTGTCAAATCTGATTGACACACCTTGATGGATGTGGAACCGTAAACTGGGTAGCTCAGATTTGTGCAGAGAACAGTGTGGTAGAAGCATGCTATAGCTGTGTGCAAGCCGTGCTGTGGACTTCCGGCAACTTACTCCCAAGGCGCCTTGAGCCCCAGGAAAAAGGTGTTGCCCTAGCATCTGCCTGCGCGGACTCTGCTACGCACAGGGCTTGACGTCCCCGGATGTCCCGGGGTCGACAGGCAGACCAGCATTCCTTGCATCTCCCATGTCGCCTGTTGCAGACACAATGTGGAGCAAATTTTCCCGGCATCGTCTGCGTTCGCGGCCCTGCGGAGAGACGGCAGCTGGCCACAATTTCAGCACATGGCAGGCTTGTTGTTCTGAGGGCGTACTGCCTTTCGCAGGCTCCGTTGTTGCCTGGGGCGATGCAAAAAACGGCGGCGACTGCAGCCTCTCGGTTCTATAGTTTTATTTGCGCTTAGTCCGTGCTCCTGATTAAGAGGGGCACCCCCGCTCCAACCCCCTAAATGATATCCGAGCCCCATTGCTCTAGAGGTCCGAAAGGAAAAATGTATCATGCTTGGAAATAGGCACATTTAGATGGGTCTCCATAAGCTTTCAGTTCATGTTGATTAGATTTTAGCGGATTTTTGTTGCTTTGCACGAATTCGTGTTGCTTGAAGCGTTTTTTGATAGTAAAGCGGTTGAAACTAGGGTGTATTTGATTTCGCATAGGTTTTCATTGTTTCAATCAAGATAGATTTCAATGTTATTCAAGTCCCGAAGCTAATGACTTTGAAGCAAATATCTATCATCTGATGTAAAGAAAGATCCTCTCACACAAGGTCCATAAGGGGCTAGATCAGGAAACGCGAGACCGCCTCGGCACAAGGGATTTGAGGTTTCAAAACCGAAGCTTTAGCTTTCGGACCCTTTGGACTTGAATCTTAAGTGTAGACCTTAGTTTTTTTAAGGGTCTGGAAAGTCTTTTCTTTAAACCTAGAGGGCTGTATTAATCAAGAGCATGGATTATGGTGCACAATGAGCCAGCTTCAGGCTGATGTCACATATTTGCAAATCAGTGCGCACCAAGGCCATGTTTCGCAGATGGGGGAAGTGATCCCGCTGCACGTAAGTGGCGAGGCCAGCTTTACCGAGTTCCGCTGGTTCTTCTCAGTTGGACTGTATTGCAGTGTACCGAAGTTTGCTTGAATCTTGCTGCTGTGAAAGGTCTTTGCGCGAGTGTCTCCGCTGGCACCGCAAGACTGAAGCAAAAATGACCTGCAGAGCCTGCAACAAGACCCAGGTCTAGATGGTTGGAATGGTACAAGAGGTGAGCTAAATCTTTTTATACGCCTTAGACTGCTGACATTGCTGAGGCTCGGTGTTGCTGCTTGGCCTTCCGGGCCAGCTCACATCGCCTATGCAACAACTGCCGCGAAGGCTTGCGGAAGGATGTGGAAGGATGTGGAAGGGTGGTGCTTGTGGCCTTTGGGTAAGTGGTTGCCTTTTCACTGAGGCACGCGGTAGACCGGCCCCTTGAGGAGATGCTTCTGCCCGGCTTTGAGAAGGATCAGGTCGTTTTCCAGCTTCCCTTGAAATCTGGAACTCGCTCCCGCATTCCTGCTGCCAGGTTTTCCCGACTCTTGCAAGACATGCAAGAAGCGCTTGGAACTCAAAGCTGCGAGGGCGGACCTTAGTTCAAAAGCTTCTCCGCTTTGCGCAGTCCGCAGCAATTGAAATCGCATGGGGACTACTTGCCTGGCCTCCTGTAACTGCTGCAATGACTGTACCTGGACAGACATGCATAGACATGCCTGAGAAACTGAGGTTGATGTGCCCCCTCAGTGCACAGTGGAGAGGGATGTGCTGAGGCATGTCCTGCGGCGGTCTTGGTCTAGGCAACCTTTCTGTGCCCCGCGCAGGCACATCATTGCGGGCATTAACCCAATGCAGGCCAGTCTTTGTCAGAAGCCTGCTCTCCGAAACGTTGTGGGACGTCTGCATTACGAGTCAGCAATGGCTGTAGTCAGTTTCGATTGAAGAATTTCGCCTGTTAGGCATGGGTTTGATCTTGAAGCCCGGGTGAGATGAACCCGTCTTGCACTTAGACTCAGACCCATCGGGGCAACAACTTACACAAGAGAGAGAGAGAGTAATGCTAGGACTAGTAGGAGTAGCAGTAGTAGAAAGAGAAATGGAAATAAGGGTAGAAAAGGTGAGCAGGAATATGAGTAGAGGAGGGAACGCCTTTGTTAAACGCGACCTCTCGGGCGGCGG